AGAGCTTTTCTCTGCAGCACAATTTCTCTTTTTGATAATGCCCTTTAGGGTACAACTAGCTATCAGTAACTGAATGTATCTTAATCATTATGGCTGCTTCTGGTTTTTCATTAACAAAGGTTATTCATATGTTAGCATATAGTTTCTTTGCATGCATTCTTTATTTATGTCTGAATCATTTGTTACAGGAGAGCGTGTGCTGATGAGATTCTAAGTTTGTGTGTTTTAAAAAAAATTTTTTTTTGAGTGAGGGAAGAAAAAGCTGTATGCATTTCATTGCTGACTGCGGATTTCTTTCAGATTACGTTCATGGTCTGTGTGTACACAATATGAAGAATGATCTGAAGTAATTGTGTTGTATTTATGTTTATCCACCAGTCTTTGATTAAATAAAAAGCAAAACCAAAAAAAAAAAAAGAGTATAAAATTCAGGTTCCCAGGAACAAATAGTTGTCTCATATCCCTTCTACCCACTCCCTCACTCCGAGTCACATAGCAGTGTGACTGTCTGTGGAGCTCTGCTTGCCAGGAATCCCTCAGTCTAAAGCAGTTATGAGGAGGCATCTGGCAAGTTGACAAGGGAGAGGCAAGTTGACAGCTTCTCATCAAATATCAGACATTATTGTGGTTCCAGTGTCAATCTGGATTTGACATTTAATTATAGAAGTATCTTAGCACAGGTCTACCCACAGTAAAACAGATAGCAACCGCAAAACTGATTTTGTCTTATTTAATGCTAAAAAAAAAAGCCTGTTGCCTGGAAGGCAGAATTATTTTCAGAAAGCAGCACTGCTCCGCTGCCAGGGTTATTGACAATACAGAAAATAAAACATTTTCATTAGTTTAAGACATATTACTTGGCTTAGGAAGAGAAAATAATGGTGTTTAATAAGAAAATTGGATTGCGGTAAACAGAATTTCTATTGATATGATTATACCAACTTGAATAAAAGAATATTTCTTGGGTGTGTGCATGTGCATACATGCACAGACGTGTGCATGGTCATTCATACATTCATGCATAAACCCTAAATGTACACATTACATGTGTATACATAAACCCTAAATACATCACATGGCATTGATGCATTGGGTCTTGCAGATTGTTTTTTTTAAAGCAAGAGCTTTATCTACTATTCTTAAAGAATAGAAATGACAATAAGAGTTTTGATTTGAGAGAAAAACAAAGACAGTTTTAACTCCTATAATTAGTAATGGACAGGATCAATATATTTTCACCATATCACCAACCTAATTAAAACATTTTGGTAATATTTATAAGTAAAGAGCTGATGAAAAAGAACTTAAGACGTGGTAGATTTTAATATACTGTTGTCAGTGTATTAGATTGTGTTAGGAAGTAAAGGAAGCATAATATTTAAATATTTAAATATTTATTAAAATTAGACAATTTAAAACATTCCATGCTAAATGTAACATATCATCAGATTATTTATCACCATAGAAGACCTTGGGTAGCAACATTGTAGGGTAGCAAATACAAGGCCTTCCATCCCACCTGGACTGGGCTGTCAGCAAACTTTTCAGGCTTACCATGCCAGGAACAGCCTTTCTTCATTTCTCAGAATCTCATGGTCTCAGATTTGCACTTGCTAATGAGTGGCCCTCGCATTTGTTATGACAAGCAGAAGTAAAGAAAGGTGATTATACTTTCATGGGATCCTGGTAACTAAAGACAGCTACCCGATTTTTGTACAACCTCCAGCTTTTTGTTGCAAGCCGAGACAGTGTATAGGATCCTATCAAGATAACTGGGAATTGTGACGTTTTTCAAACCACTTCCTTTTGGTTTTCAGGCTGCTGTCTTCTTTGATTGTTTCCCTGACCTTCCTGCAAGAACCATCATGATCTCCATAGCTCTGACCTTTCCACATGGGTATAATCCTTAACTCTCTCATTAAACTCTTGTTTCCTGATACATAGAGCAGTTCTATTACTTGACAGTATCGAGAAAGGTGATCTCATGGAAATATGTACTGCATAGACTAATGACAAAAACTGAAGATCTCTAACTGTTAAGGGAATAAAGCAGGTGTATAACTTAGGGATACTTGCAGGGTCTGTGTGCAATCTCAAGGCGAGACTGACCTATTATCCAAATAAACAACAATAAAAAAAACAACTGCAAAGAAACAAACAATAAAAACCCTCTTCCCTAATAACAAATCTACATTTTATTTCTTAACTGCTCTTTTTTTCATTTTTTAAAAATTTTAAATTGGCATACTTGAAGTGGTTTTGCTCTGCAAGGCGACAATGATATGAATTTTATCACAAATAGCGAGTCTAGGGCCATATTCTCTACTCAACCAAAGTCTTTCTAATGCGTCTTATTAATTTCTACCTATATTTAGTCTCAACTTCTCTTTCTAAACAAAGAAAAATTATTGTTTTTTGACTAAGACAAGACTTAAAAAGTATTTTTAAAATAAAAGGACGAATATTTTCTTTTTGGAAAAATAAAGAAGGTCTGTAGCTAATGACGGCAAATATTTTGTCTGATCTCCTATAAGGTAAACCATTATGAGGGCAAAGACAAGCTTTGTTTAGCAACACGAACATCTTTTTCCTTCTCAACCACGGTGTATACGTCTACGTCTACGTCTCTGCGTCTACGTAGGTGTTCTCTAAGTGCTTGCAATTAAACATATTTTAATTTTAAGTGAAAAGGAAGGTTGGACAAAGCACCATACTAGAAAACCTGTGGTCAGATTGTACTCACTACATAAATATGCTAGGACTAATTTGTAGCATGGTAAGACTAAGGACAGAAGGACAAAAATATTCTACATTTAATAAAAGGTTATTTTTGTTATATATATATATTTAATGGGGACAAAAGAAGCCAATATATTTTACCTTCAAATTGTCAATATGAACCATGCTTGATAAACTTTGATGACTGCAATTCTATAATAGCTAGCCACTACTTACGTAATCAAATTGAAACATCTTACATATTATTTCCGCTAAGAAACATTGCTTTTCATCTCAAAGTGGATTACTCTCCTGTTTAGGACCCCATTTTTATATTACTCCCAATTTTATCATAGCTATTTTAATGTTTTATTGCAGTTACTTCTTCACAGGACTCTTGCACTTCTACACTCTATCTGTCTTAAAGACAGAAGTGAACATTAAAAATATTTAAATATTTACCTCCTTATTCACTAGATTAGTCTCTAGGAACTTATTCAGTGAATGAATGGGAATGTTTCTCAAATGCATGAATGGAGAAGTTGTTTTTTTCCTATAAGTGTATACATCAGAAAGGTTATGAAGGCTTGGACAGAATATTAGGAAGACAGTGCTATTTTGTTTTATTTTGTTTTTTTGGCACCAATGAAGAAACTTGAGCACCTATGATAAAAGGGTGAGGTCCACACATTCTCGGGCTGCTTAGGAAAAATTTGCAAGTCTAGCCATGTGCCCATCTCCTTCAGTGTTTCAGTGCCACGTGTGATCAGAGGGACCCCTTTTATTTTTGTCTCAATAGTGGAACTTTCTGACTCTATAAGAGAGAGAAGTGTTCAGATCCCTGGGCAACAGCATCCGTGGCGGTGATACTGGCATTTCAGGATAGTGATTGACAGTGGTGAGGTTTCCATAAGCAACTGTACACAAAGCATGTGTGGGCAAGTGGCTAGTGGTCGCTGAAATAAGAGAGCAAGACCGGGGTAGTACAGCGTGAGGACTGCAGTTCATAAATTCACAAACGAATGTATGTGAAGGGCTCCTCTGAGATGCCCAGACATAAGCAAAAGATGCTGTAGAAGGTGGTGTGCTCATACCATTATGTAGGTCAGGGCGATCAAACCAAAAGTCATCTGAGTAAAAGAGTTGACAAGCATTTTTGAGAGCCCAGCTGAAATTGGAAACTGTAAATCTGCTCAGCCTGGCAGAGTTATGTGATTTTATCCAGGAAACCTGAGCAGTCCAGAAGATGGAAAATGTGTGTGATGAGATAGCTCCAGGTTGGGATTGTATTTAGATAATGAAAGCAGAAGAAAGGCTGGGGACAGGGGAATTGAATACAGGAGTGACAATAAATGGCCAAACATGATGATGAATTTCAAGGAAAGTGAAGCCGGGGAGAATGATATGAGAGAATACACATAATGTGGGAATTAAAGACCTATGTGTTTGTTATCTGGGAGAGGATTTAGGATAGAGTTCGGTTTATGGGATTATAAATCTGCCTCTGGCCCCAGGAGTGGTTTCCTAAAGAAATATGATATGAAATAATTGCCATAGAAAATAGTAAGAAAGTCTGAGTGCAATAAAGTTATTGAAAATCATACATATCGTACAAATGGAGAGAAAAATGAACTATTGTCACACGCTCCTTGAAATGCCAGACTACAACCTAATAGTCCAAAGATGTGGTAATTAAAACAAGTGGCAATTGCTATTCTTTAAATAGCCAACGTAAAACAAGAAAGCTGTCTTTTCATTCATAGCACAGTCCAAAAAGAGTACGTGGCAGGTGGCATTCAAGGAAATACAGGTACCCAGGACCCGTCTATGCCCTTGGGCCTCTGGCAGGATTTGCTACATCTGACTGGGTGATGAGGGAGAGGATCAAGTGCAATGTCGAAGAGGCCAGCCTGGGAAGGGGCACTACTCTTGTTTATTTATTTCCCATCAGCTGGAGCTCGGATGCCCTGCACAGTAACAAGAGAGCTGGGAAATGTGTCTTAAGTGTGTGTGTAGAAAGAAGAAGCGTGGATACTGACAGCCATCAGCGTGCTTTGCCACAGTGGGTGATGGTGAAAGTCCGTCTGCACCGTGGACTCCTCAAGGAAATAATGTAGTGAAGCCCAACAGCAATATATCCTTAGCAAGAATCCTAAGAACAGTACAGGTCCAGGAAAATTCTTAGCCAGACAAGGATTCTGTGAGGAAATAAATTGCTTTGAGAATGTTGCCAAAGTAGAAAATATTATTTTAATGAAGGGT